TTGGAACAGACGCCCCAGTGAGATTATCGGGTGGCGACTTCCATCTGGCATTTGTCAGAGCTGGAGGGGGGGGAAATAAAGTCAGTTCTTATCAGATCTCCAAAATAAAAGGAGAACTTCCACTTCAAGTGGTAACAACTGGAAAAATTTCTTTTGTGTTTGAAGCTTTAAAAATATCTTGCCCTTGAGGTTGGCTAAGTCCGTTCAGGGCTTCGAGACCCCCTTTCCCATACAAAGGTAATAAAACCAAGCTCGTGGTTACAGAAATTCCCAGCACATAAAAATTACAGGAAGCTGTTGCTAAGTAATATTTTTACCTCAGTAAACATCACAAAACGTTTCCCACACACACCTCTGAACTTTGTTATTCAAACCTGCCTTGAAGATGTTCATAGTTGCAGAATTTCTTCTGGCACCAGCCTCTTTAAAAGCTCCCGGTGCTGTTTCACAGCAGTTGGAAAACATTTCAGGCTGAGCAATGTTTTTCCGAGTGCTTTGTTGTGTTGCTCGTACTAGGAAACACAGCAAGCTACCAAAGCTGCTCTTCAGTCCTCACCTGTCCCCTACCTGTCCAGAATGTTCCCTGGGTAAAGCACAGGAAAATTAAAGAGAGATTCTCTTGTATCCCCTTGTCTCCAGACCTGCTTCCCCAACATCATTAAAAAATCTGGACGAACATTCTTTTCATAGAGCATCTTTCTTTGCGTGTCACCGACTCCAGTGTCATCCCTTCTAGCAACTGTTTCACCATCTTCTTCCAATGGTTTCACCTACTTTCCACTTTCTTTGCACGAGGTTCATATTTTGCAACAAATTATAGGTTGCACTAATTGAGAGATACAATTTTTGGTTTTATTGCATAAAGCAAGATAATAGATTGAAGAAAGAATCTGTCTAGAAACCTGAAACGGCTTCAATAACTCAAATTTCCTGGGAGCGTGAAGTCCCAAGATCAACAAGATAACAGACTCCTACAAAGGTTTCATTCAGGAGGAAAAGGAGAATGTGAATTTCATCATATCCTGAGGACCGAAGCCCATATTTCAGATATCCATCCTTGCATTCCAGGAATGCGGCCCTTCGATATTCACCGAGGGGCTGTCTGATACCGCAGATCATTTTCCAGTTCATTTTTATTGGCCCATTCCACTTTTCTTCCCTATTACCTTCCTCCACCTCCACATGACCCAATA